GGGGGCCCCCTCGGGGAGAGGGGAAGGGGTGCCCGGGGGCCTCGGGGAGAGAGGAAGGGGTGCCCGGGGGCCCCCTCGGGGCGAGGGAAGGGGTTCCCAGGGGCCCTCCCGTGGCTGCAGCAGCCCTCGTGGCTGGCTCGTCACCCGGCCCTGGCTAGGCCTCACCTGGGGCAAATCATTTGAAAATTGAGGCAGGGAGAGGGACCAGGCGACCTCCTGCCCGGTGTGAAGGACACCCACGCCCCGTCTGGGGGTCTGTGAGCCCCGCTGTGATCATAGAAGGTTTCAGACCCCCAATCCACATGGGGGGCTCAGAGGTCTCTCAAGGGCAGCTTCAGCAGAAAGTGGGGAGTCGGCTCCCAGTGGGGTCCTAACCTGTTGGCCGCAGCCGCCCGGGACCGACCAGCTCGCACAGTTATGAGGCAGCCGAGGAGGGCGGCTGGGGACAGGGACACACGGGCCAGGGAGGCAGGTGGGGGACGCCAAAGAGAGATGAGAGGAGGGTGGCGAGGACGCTGTGGGGGGACACCTACCTGGGTGGAGCTTCTGGGCTCCATGCAGCCCTTGCTGAGCGCCACGCTGGAGTCAGTCCTGGTGCCAACCCTCCCCTGCCAGCCCTCAGGTGCGTGGCAGCCCCTTTCCCAGGAGTAGTCTGGGCTGAGGGTGGGTGTCTCAGTGAAGGCTGCTGAGGCTGGAAGTGTGCAGCCCGGCCCCGCCCCTGCTCACTCCCCCCGAGCGGCCTTCCTGCTGTTTGGTGACTCATGGGACCAATCAGTGCCATGCACTGGGGGCTTCTACTGGGATGTCCAGGGAGCAGGTCCTCTGCGGGGCTGATGGGACCAGGCCCTCCCTCTGATGGTGGGTCCTGAGTCAACCACAGGTGCCGCCCTTGTCACCCAGGGGCCTCGCTGACCTGCAGGCAGACACGGCCAGGACCGCCCGCCGCCTGCACACCGCCTGCCTGAACCTCGACTCCACCCTGCGGCTGTCGGCCAGCAGCACAGCCCGCACCCTGGGGCAGCAGCTTCAGGACAAGGTTGGCGAGATGCTGCAGCTGCAGAGCCCCGGGGACGCAGAGAAGGCAGTGCTCCAGGCCAGGTGGGCACCCAGGGCCGGCAGGCTGGCACAGGGAGGGCCCAAGGGGGCGGGGCCCACCCAGCCGGCCAAGCAGCTGTGGCTCCTGGATGTGGTCGAATGGGTCCAGGGCAGGTGGGGCCCTGATGTCACACGTGCTGCACACGCTTCAGGATCACCGTCCCAGAGGCGCAGGGCTCTCCCCTAATGCCCAGGAGGTAGCACTGGGGTCTCCCACAGTGAGGGTTTCAGGGAGCATGGCAGGAAGCTCACTGGGACGGTGTCCTCGCGGCCAGCACCCAGAACTGGAGTGTTTAGGACTCAAGCAGAAACACTTCTCCAGGGACAAGGGCTCACCTGGGGCAAACCGTTCCAAAACCGAGGCATGGAGAGGGACCAGTCCACCTCCTGCCCGGTGTGAAGGACACCCACGCCCCATCTGGGGGGTCTGTGAGGCCCACGTGATTGTGGAAGATTTCGGACCCACCATCCACACTGGGGGCTCAGAGGTCTCCCGAGGGCAGCTTCAGCAAAAAGTGGGGAGCGGCTCCCCAGTGGAGGCCTAACCTGCTGGCCGTGGGGCCGATGCCTCACAACCTGGGGTCCAAGGCCCCCCTGGCCACAAACACCCTGCCAGGCTGACAGCCCTCCCTCTCCTCTGGGGGTCCAGCTGAGTCAAACACACCACAGCCCAGCCCCAAAGGAGCAGTACAGGGTGTGGGGGCCCACGGGTGCTGGACAGCCGCAGGGGCTGCATGCCAGGGCCTGAGCCACAGGAAGGGGAACCCGGGGTCTTTAGGAAGAAGGAAGGAACATCACTCCTTGCTAGACTGATGGCGACAGGTGCTCTGAGCAGAAGGGCTGGCCGAGCAAAGGCCTGTGGTGGGCACTCCCTCTGCTGTGCCGCAGGACAGGGCAGAGCCCGGGGCAGTCAGTGCACATGAGTCTGCAGAGGGTCAGGGTGTAGGCCTTGGCTCCTGAGACTGTGGGAGCCACTGAAGGCTCTGGAGCAGGAGAGGCACGTGCTCAGACCAGGGACGGAGATCACTCAGAGGTGTCACCCAGCAGCGGCAGGGGGCCGCGGCATGGAGGAACCCAGGCAGAGCCAGGGCATGCTCAGGTGCCCGTCCTCTGGGCCCTGCCCCTCACCTCCCACCCCCTGACTCCTTCCAGGCTCTCAGAGCAAACGCTGCTGGTGGAGAAGCTCACAGAGCAGAATGAGCAGAGTGCAAGGACCATCACTGCCCTCAGAGCCGACCTGCAGAGCCTGGTTGGTGGGTGGGACAGGGGTGGCTGTGGGCGGGAGTCTGTCGGCCGCGCTCAGGGGTCTCCCCCGCCGAAGGAAGTCTGGTGCAGGGGCAGCCGGGGATGGCAGAGGATGGCCTGCAGGGTGAGGTGGGGTCCCTGCAGCGCACTCTGAGGCGCATCGGGAATGGGCGGCCCCTCGCCTGTACCCCTGGTAGCGAAGGGGGAGGTGGCCTGCAGGGACCCTCGGGACTGCGCGATCGCCACCAAATCACCGCCCTGCGCTCTGGGCCTCTCTGCATCTTGAAGGTGGTGGAGGAGGATGAGTGGTGCCCCAGCACTGAAGGGGAGAAGGCTCAGCGCCCGCAGAGGAGCCCCCCACGTGCCACGTCCCCCCACCAAGGGGCATCCCTGCCACGCACCCACACCCCAGCTGCCCAGGACCCCACACTGCGGGCCGTGCGGGCAGCCATCGAGAGGCGGCGGCTGCGGGAGCAGGTGGGCAGCCGCAGCCCGTGGGACCCCGGTCTCCCTGAGGGCAGAGCCGTGAGCCTCTCAGGCTGAAGGGTACTTATGGGGGCTGCCCGAGCCCGGTGGCCCCAGGGAGGGGCTCCAGCGTCTTTCCTGCGGAGTCGTAAGTCCCAGTGGGCCTCGGTGGGCAAAGCCTGCCTGAGGGGCCCACACTGCACCCACCCGGGCAGGAGCTGTGCCTGCGGCTGGAGTCCTCCCAGGCCCTGGCAGCCAGGCTCCGGGAGCAGCTGTCCGAGTGCCGGCAGGAGCTGTGGGCCGCACAGCAGGAGCGGGCTCGGGAGCAGAAGGCCCTTCGGGGCCAGCTGGAGGCCCAGGGGCTGGAGGAGCGGCAGTGCCGGGCGTCCTGCAAGCTCCTGGGGAGGTAACGGAGTGAAGGGGCTGCCCGGCCCTGCATAGCGCGTGTGGGACCCCGAGGGCCCAGGACTGCTGTCACGGGAGGGGACGCCGGTGGGGAGGGGCCTTTCCTTCCAGCAGAGTTCCATGGGCACTGGTTGAGCAGGAGCCGGGGTGGAACGCATTCACCAGTGAGACCCTGTGTGTTTAGGGGGCTGCCTCTGCCCATGCGGTCTCGGGGCTGGCATCCACCCAGCTCCGACTGCCCACCAAGGCGTGCTGTGCACCTCGAATGTGTCCAGGGTAGCCCCAGCTCTGCCCCCTCCATCCATCCCCAGGGAGAAGGCGGCTCTGGAGATGGTGGAGAGAGGGAAGGTGGGCGCTGCAGATGCGGAGAAGCGGGGGCTGGAGGCCTCGGAGCCGCAGGAGGAGCAGAGGGAGGAGCTGGCTCTGTGGAGGCGGCGGAGCGGCAGGGCCCTGGAGACCAGGTGTGAGGGAGAGCAGGCAGCGGCTGGGCGGGCAGGGCCCCTCCCACAAGAGAGAGCCCTCGCTGCTACCCTGGGCCTGGGGTCTGCTTCTGCAGTCTCATCTCAGGGTGCGGGCGGCCCGACAGAGCGGGGGCTCTGCAGGCTCCTTCCAGTCTGCACCGTCCTCCAGACCCAGACCCCACTCTCGTGACCCAGTGCCCCCTGGGGGCACATCTCCCACTCTGTGGGCCCAGCAGATGTGGGGCTCCATTCCCCCCACCGAGGCACCTGTGCCTCCTCTGCCCCAGAAACGAAGCTGGAAGCCAAGGGCTCCCTGTGACCCTGGTCCTCCCGGGAACCTCATGCTCCTCCTGGGCTTGGAGGGGGTCGCAGGCAGTCTTCTCCCTGAAATCTCACGGGGCAGCCACTGCTCACCCTGAGAGACCCCCACCCTCTGGTCTGGGGCCTCAGTCAAGGCCGCCTGCAGCAGCTGGAAGAGAAGGTCTCCAGGCTCAGGGAAGAGCTGGCTTCAGCCCGGGAGGCACTGAGCATGGCACAGCTCCAGCGGGACGTCGCGGAGAGCGAGAGGGAGGCCCTGCACGGAGCCCTGGCCCGGGTGCGCTCTGCCCCCCC